AACACAAACTATATGAATAAATTATTTTTATAACATTATTCTAATATTTAAAAATGTACCGTACATTTTAATAACCCTATATCAGTCTAGTGCACCTGTAATTGATTGTACGTACCTGGGTCACCTGACATAAAAAAACCAGTTCACAATAATCATAGAATTTAATGAATGATTTTGTGTCACATTTTGTAAAAATATTTTTAATTATAATATATATATATATATGTGATGGACAAAATTCAATGAATAATTTCACATTTTTAGTAAAGAGCTAAAAGGTCTGAACATGTTAAGTGCTTACACATACAGTATATCATACAAAATATTTTATAGTTATGACCTTTTAGAGGTTTACATAAAATATGAAATTATTCATTGAATTTGTTGCCTCACTTATATTAGTCAAAGTATTTATAAAAAGTATTGCCCCTTAAATAATTTCCACCCCATTTATACAATAATTATATTTGTGTATGCGTTTTGAAAATGAGATTACAAATGTTGTAATATGTATAAGTCATAACCATAGGGGCGTTATGATTAAAAAAAAATATTATCTGAGTTTATTAATGCATAGCCCTGACTGTCCAGTTCTAACGCCCCTATGGTTATGACTTATACATATGACTAAAAGTGGCTAAAGCGCTACACACTGGTCCTATATTTCTCATTTACAGTTATACCGCTATAATAGGCAAACATTTCATAAGAAGTTTATATAAAACTCAAACTTTATATTTATTTTTAATTTTAATACAATTTTGAGACAAAAATGTGTAAAAAATGATAATTTCTTTGTTAACCATTGGAGACATGATTTTGTTTAACAGTTAATGTTTTCCGTAGAAAATAGTTTCAGAAATAAATAAAAGAAAAAGTAATTTAAAAATAAAACAATATATGAGAGCGAGTGTGGGTTCAGTCGAGGGGGTGGTTCTGAACGACACCCCCGTTGGAGAGCACCTCCTCTGCGATGGACTTCATAGTCGAGTAGTTCTTCAGCCGTTGTGTCGCCCGAAGACCACTCAGACTATCGACGATCCGCTCCGAAGCCTATGAGAGAGACATCGCATGAGAGAGAGAGAGAGAGAGAGACTCGAGGCATACCTCATGACAGAACAGATTCGCGATATTCTTCTCGATGCCGGCGCTGTTGAGGTTGGCGTTGAGGGCACGGGTAGCCCTCGACAGCACCACAACCATC